TTTTTATTTAAAGTTAAATATATTGCTGCATACTCTTGTATGAAAAACTCATTTAAATAACTTATTAACGCACAATAAGGGGGAAAACATTTACAAATAAATGGTAGGTGTAGTGGCAATTACCAAATCTCCTTCATCCATCACTGGACTTTCCCAACCAGTAACTGATCTCTTCTGATGGTCTTTGTAAAATTAAAGCTTTTAAAAACTTTCAGCGTCAAGTTGTGTCTTTCTTTTCTCACCTTGTCCATTACAGGTGTCTCTGGAGTAAGTTTCTCTAACCAGCAGGCATGGTATATTTAGCACGATTTTTACATATAAAAGTTCTTCTTTGCAATTTATATTTTTAAATTTTTAATTAGTTTAGCACAACAAAGTTAGCATTACATTGGTAAAATTTCCATGTACTTAAAAAGATTGTGAGATGATTCATCATCATGTAAGAAGATACTTTGTAAGACAAGTATAATGGTAGTAAAGAAGTGAAATACCACCCCAGTAGTCACATGCTAAGACATCATCCTACAAAGCATATTGGAAACATTAATGTGTGATTTTATTCTTAACAGCATTAGATGTTCCATAAGGATTTATGCTGTGCATTGCTATTAACACAAAATCTTTGTTTAAAACCCTCAGAAATAAGCTATACATACATTTGTTTGAGCATATACACACTTTTCTACAGACTACAAGTGGTAAATACAACTTGCAGATTACAAGGCTGTCATTGTGTAATTGTGAGAGTATATGCTCATACTGGCTTTATGTAGTGACAGTAAAACACAATTTAAACAAAATTTAAACAGTATTTCTAACCAGAATTTCTAATATTGAATGGTTTCCTGTATGTGACAACTGTATAGAAGAGAAATTATGTGTACTACTATCTAATGTGTGATGAGCTTCGCAGGTGGGTGGTTTTTTTTTAATTTCCCAAAATATCCTTAGGTAGTTCTTAGGTAGCTATGGGGATACTTTTCTTAATTAAAAAGTGTTTAATTATACAAACAAAACCAGAGAAACTAGTATAAATTTCAGGAATCAGTGAATGGAAAAAGACGTACATTATTATTTTAGGTAAGACAGTAAGTAGTTAAACATGCATCTTATACACAGCTGTGTAGTTTAACATGAAAAAAAGTGTGCAATAATTTTAAAGTCTGAAATATAATGTTTATAGTTAAACATTTAACATGGGAAAGAGGTTTTGGAAACAGGTGTTGAGAAGATTTCTTTTTTCATGTGGGACACAAGAGAGAACACACACGTGTTCTATGATAGATATCTCGAGCTGGGTACTTCTGTCAGAGTAATTTTTCAAAAAGTGGATATGTCAGCTATAAAATATACACTGTTAAACCAAAAGACAATCTTGAAATGCCATTATTAGTTTTAAGCAGTTTCAAGCATTAGTTTCAAGCATTAGTTTCAAGCATTATTAGTTTTAAGCCTGGCCACACAATGGACAAGATGCAAATATTAGTGATATTTCTTTAAAATCTGAAGCAAAAGATTCTATATTAAGATACACTACTTATGCTTTCATAATGAGCCTAATAACAAACACACTTTTCAACATTTAACCCTCCCACCCCCATAATCTGTAGTCACAGATAGCTCATAAGAAAATACATCTGGACTGATCACTTCAGGTGTTCCAAAAACCTGAAAAATAAAACTTCACGTAAAGAAACGATTTTTAAACCAGTTTGGTGACCATATCCACTATAAAATCCAGTAGAAATATCTGAAGGCTCCTATAAACAAAATCATCTGGGTTTCCATTAATCTTAGACAGAAAGGGCCTATGATACAGTAGCCATGTGCCAAAAAATTATTAAGAACATTCAACAAAAAAGATCTGCAACTTCTCTGGGTCAAAAATAAAGCAATTTTATGGTCAGTCTTATGGATACATACATTTTCCTATAGCATACACATCAGAAGCTCAAGAACAAAAAGCAGAATTCCTCAACACAAAGCCGAAGAACGAAAAGCAGAATTCCTCAGCACACAGTAGCTGTGCATCCTTCAAAACAACAGACCAATGTCTCCCCACTCTCCTTGCCAGCACTGGCATTTATAAACATTTTCCCCTCACAGCTATCTCACTTTGAAGCAGCTAAAGCAAGCTGTATTTGTTGCTGAGTTTTGGCCTCCCCTCACAGAAGGCACACAGCTGTCAGGGAAGCACAATGTTTTATGTTTGAATTCCACTGCAAGGCCAGACCCTGCTCCCTTGAAAGTCAGAGAAAGTTTTCCCTTTGACTTAATTAGGAGCAGAAAGAGATCTTGAGTAGCAAGTTTCTTCAGCAACATCTATATTTGCATGGAGTAAAGTGACAGGGAGAAAACAGTGCTACCACCTGAAGTGGCCAAAATTCAGACATCTCATCAATAACCTAGATGAATCCGACTTACTTTGCTGACAATAGACAGAAAAGGCCACTAGAAAACCACAGCAGATTTGATTAATGACATCTGATTAGCAGATTTCTCCACGGGTACCTGTAACAGTTGCTCCACATACTACACAGCCTCTCTCAGAGCCTCAAGAGCAGGCAGCAGCGCCAGTACCACATGGCTGCCACTCCTTTCCTTGCCTCATTTTCACCTGCTGTTACTTTTGCACCTTGGGAACTGATGAGACCCAGTGCTCCCTCCTGCTCCCCCAGGAAGGTTATATTCCAGTTGACTCATACCAGACTCTTGTTCAAGAGTAGGAATGAACAGATCATAGAATCATAGAATCATAGACTAGTTAGAGTTGGAAAGGACCTTAAGATCATCTAGTTACAACTCCCCTGACATGGGCAGGGACACCTTGCACTAAACTATGTCATCCAAGGCTCTGTCCAACCTAGCCTTGAACACTGCCAGGGATGGAGCATTCACAACTTCCCTGGGAACCCATTCCAGTGCCTCACCACCCTAACAGGAAAGAATTTCTTCCTTATATCCAATCGAAACTTTCCCTGTTTAAGTTTTAACCTGTTACCCCTTGTCCTATCACTATCTTATCACTACAGTCCCTAATGAAGAGTCCCTCCCCAGAATCCCTATAGCCCCCCCTTCAGATACTGGAAGGCTGCTATGAGGTCTCCATGCAGCCTTTTCTTCTCCAGGCTGAACAGCCCCAACTTTCTCAGCCTATCTTCATATGGGAGGTGCTCCAGTCCCCTGATCATCCTTGTGGCCCTCCTCTGCACTTGTTCCAACAGTTCCATGTCCTTTTTATGTTGAGGACACCAGAACTGCACACAATACGCCAAGTGAGGTCTCACGAGAGCAGAGTAAAGGGGCAGGATCACCTCCTTCGACCTGCTGGTCACGCTCCTTTTGATGCAGCCCAGGATACGGTTGGCTTTCTGGGCTGCAAGCGCACACTGAAGCCGGCTCATGTTCATTTTCTCATTCACCAACATCCCCAAGTCCTTCTCCGCAGGGCTGCTCTGAATCTCTTCTCTGCCCAACCTGTAGCTGTGCCTGGGATTGCTCCGACCCAGGTGTAGGACCTTGCACTTGGCATGGTTAAACTTCATGAGGTTGGCATCAGCCCACCTCAGAAGTGTGTCAAGGTCCCTCTGGATGGCATTCCTTCCCTCCAGCGTATCAACTGAACCACACAGCTTGGTGTCATAGCAAACTTGCTGAGGATCCACTCAATCCCACTGTCCATGTCACTGACAAACATATTGAACAAGATCGGTTCCAACACCGATCCCTGAGGGACACCACTCGTTACTGGTCTCCAGCTGGAGGGAAGGATCAAGCAAGAGGGGAGAAAAAAAGAGAGGAGTATCTACTTAACTTGACCTAAGTAGCACAGACTCAGAATATTGAACCACACCTCTTGTGACAAACATCCATCACCTGATGCATACAGGAAACCTGACAGATCTTCTACGTTGTCTTGGGAATATATATGTAAGCCCATAAAAAAATGTTAAGAAATTTAGCCTAAGAGAAATACAGTATCAGAAGGGCTATCACCTTTCAGATGTTAACGTCTTAACCATTTTCATGTTTTGTAGGATGCTATAAAGGGACAAGATAAAAGTCAGGACTACCTGCTCATCAAGTCCCATTTTATTCTTTAAATTAAATCAGCTTTCATGTTATATAGGCATATAAAAAGATTTGGAAAGAAGTAAACCCATATATTTCAACTCACTCCTTTAACTCCAAAGTTTTACACTAATGGAAGAAAAGCTGCTCTGGACTTCACATACCACACTTCAGCCTGTGGTGACCTTTTAAAGCCAAGGAACAAGCTGTGAGGAATGGAAATGCTGGTGCATATCTGAAACCTTCAGAAAAAAACAAACTAGAACAACACCAGAGTTTACATGACCACAGTGAAAGATGAACAAATCACGGTACAGAAATAAAAGCTAGGAGTCTTGATACCAAGTGACTTTTTTTTGGGAAAAAAACAAAAACCCCAAACCAATGTTGAGGAACTTGGACCTATGGTTCTGTGAACTGACTTGCAATATATTGTAAAAAAGTATGCAGTATGCCTGAAATTCCTGTCAGGTTTATGTTCGCAAGTCCCCAGAGCTCCCACCTGCCCAGGGCAGCACAGCCGAGCCCACCTGAGGGAACATCTCTCCCGCGATGGGAGAACGATACCTCCAGTACCCACCTCTGCCTGAGAGCGTAAGGGCAACCTTGTCAAAGAGGCCATGCCCAGGGGGAAGGTGGGTTGGGGTGGCGAGCTCAGGCATGGGTATCTTTGGGATGTGCCCTGGGGGCTGCGCTCGGGGCCAGCACCTGCCGCCATCCTAAGGGGCTGGGCACGGGAAGAGGTGTCGGGGATGCCCCCGGGGGTGCTCCGGCCCGGGCCAGGCCGGGCTGAGCTGGGGTCCGAGGCGCTGCTGTAGCCCGCAGCTGCTCCAGTCCAGTGTGTGCCCGAGGACTGCAGCGCGAATAGGCTGGGGAGCAAGACGAGACACAGCTCTGCACCACTCCTCAGCGTTAGGGGGCATCCAGGATAAAATGAGATGGTTATAAAGTCATCATGTCTTTCTTTTCAGAGGGGATATAATCCCTTACAAACAGCTATCAGAATATGTTGCGGACCCACAAAGTGTAAATCCAGACATAAACGGATGAGACAGATCTGTGATGGCTCGGCCTATCTGTGACTATTAAACACAACAAACAAAATGTGATTCCAGCTCAGGAAGTTTCTGAGGCACTGTTCCCCAGAAGCTGAGGCCATGCCAAGGGGAATATCTGTTTTATATATGCCTTGGTTTTAATCCACTTTCCTTAAGCATCTGTTACTGGAAAACAGGCTCCTAGGTTAAACAGATCTTTGGTCTGGCTTATGATAGTTATGCATCTCCATTATGTTTACCATTTCCTCTGAGAAAACCATTTCAAGCCCCTCTGTTCCTGCTTGCCAAAGGAAGGCATGCGTAGCAGGGGCTCTTCCTGCATTCTGGGACTCTCTAATGATTATCTGGTTGGCTCCCAGGGCATGTGCAGTCCTGCAGCTTCCTTAAGGGCTTACACACACACACATGCCCCCAAAGGCACTGAAGTGATTTTAAGCAGATGTAGCTGGGCCACTGTTAGGTCTTTCCATAGAGCATTACAGTGGAGTGAGTAAAATACTCTGACCCCAGAGGCATGAACTGAAGCCCTCCTAAGAATTTAGAAAAATCTGCAACTTGGTGGAGAGGTGTTAATAAAAACCTAATCACTGAGGCCCAAGAACTGAAGGTGCCAAGATGTGATTCAAACTGCACTGTTCTGTTGCTACTGGCCACAGAAACCTACCTGAATCAGCTGTGTTGACTAACATGCCATGTATCCCTGGGCAGATCTTCAGAGCTGACCCCATCTTTTTGTGAACCTTTTCAGCTGAAGTATTGGTTACTGCAGTCGAGTTCAAAGTGATTTCCTAATAACTTATTTTAAATGAAATTAAGATTGATAAAAGTCAAAATGTAAGAACTTTACAAACACACATTAGAATTCTACGATGATTCTATGAATTTATTTGTAGGATTCAAACTGTAAAAATCCTTGCTATTAATCATCATTAATATAGGTCTAAACACATCTCATACTAACAGGCATTAGTGATATATTCCATTTACCTGGTTAGGGTTAATAGAGGATTGGTTTTCTGATCAGCAATTAAAAAAGCGTTGCACCTGTCTAAAATACAAGTACTCCTTTGTGTCAGCTGAGCTGCTGAAGATAAATATTTTCTTTTTTAAAATTCTGATTTTGATACTGGATTGTAACCTGTGCGTAAGAAACTTTTATACTTGGAAAATGAGAACAGAAAGTCAAGTCAGCCACTTAGTTTGCCTCTGATGTAAGACTTCATGGCTTAACCACTGAAAATGCTATCTCCTACAGGCAAAAAATCAGATGAGACTATTTTATGCTTTTGATTTACTTTTTTGAATAAAGGATGATAGATAAAAGTGATATCACTATAAAAAAGTGCTGTGGAATCAGCAGCAAGTCAAGAAGTTTGGTTGCTTAGATTAAGGTTTTTCATGTGGCATTGAGATGGTCCTTTCTGGAGCAAAGTTTCACGAGAGACTGTTCTTACTGCTTTTGAGCTCAAGAGCAATACATTCAGGATGTATTAAGGATGGTATATTACATAGTTTTTAGTTTTAAAGGGGTGAAGCATGCCTATAATTGGAGTTAATCTTGGTTGGATCATTTATCTTACTCCATTTTATAAAATGTGCTTTGTTGTATGCTGTGCGTCCCTCTTACACCTTTTAAATAGGAAGGAATGTTTTCTAAACTAACAAGTAATTAACACATAACTGGTATATGCTGCACAGATAGAGGCTCCACTGTGATTTATTGGTCTTGCCATGGGAGCAGGATGAGGACTTCAGCACCCCTAGGCTATTGCTCCCCAGAAGGAACTGTGCAGAGGAACAACTCCTTACCCAGAGGCAATGAAGAACTGCATTAGTTCCCTTGAGGGGTAAAGCTCCTGCTGTCAGAGTACCCAGTTGGCTTGGGGAAAACAGAGCCATGCCCCAGAGCATCCCACCTGCTCCAGGGAGGTTCATGTCCCTGTAGGGTGCACAAGTACTGCAGATGTTCTGGACCTTGTGCAAATTCCACGTGCCCATACCCCAAGCTGTTTGGCAGATCTGTACAAAAACCACGGGGAATCTAAGCCTACATCATCATTCTAATTGTTTTTACCACCATCTAAGCTTTTAGTCTTTGATGGTGTGTGTATCTTAATTAAGAGCTGGTTCTCAAGTGTATTGAAAAGCAACCGAACAAACCAAATAATTGTATAATTCTAATATATCATTCTGAGTATTCAAAATATCTAATTGCTGTAGCTTATTAAAAACAGGCCTAAACTTACCCTCCTCCTTCCCCCTTCTTTTATATGCTTAGTAAATGGCAGAGTTCTAACATCTAGATCAGAATCCAAATCTCAGTATTATAGCTGACACCTGACACCTATTTTAAATTAAGTCTAGGATGAATGAATGTGTATAATAAAATGACAAATGAGATTGTAATGTACTTAGGCACTTTATAAAGAATTATTTTAATGTAACACACTATACTAACTGTTTAATATTTAATATTTCTTAGCTGATTAAAACTGTGGTTCTAATTGGAAAAATAATTAAATGGTAAAACTAGAAGGTAATTCCACCATTTAAGTCTCTGTGATTTCAGTACTCTGCAATCAGTGATTCAGCTTAGGAAACTTTCTTCTTCATGCGTAACAAGCTATTTCAAAACAGCGCAATTGTGCACTATGATTTGGTTTTTTGAGGATGGGGAGAGAGCAAACCCCATAAAGGCAATGCAACAGCTGCATACTGGAACATACTACAGAGGACTTTGAGGCTATACCACAAACTCCCATGAGCTGTGTGGGGAAACTGGGGGAAGTGAATCAGCTACAGGCTTCTAAAAATTATTGTATGTTGCACCTCCCCTCCATGTTCAGGGGGTAGAGAAGGGAAATAGGGCTTAGTGTTTGTGAGCACGAGCAAATGTGGCCCATAAAAAGGCAAGGTTCCCTGGCTGCATTGTCTTCTGCCTCTTCTCCTGACTGATAGAAATGATCTTCAGATACATGAACCAATTTTTACCCCTTCTGGGAAAAACTTTTATAAGCCCTTCCCCTGATGAGAAAAAAACAATTCCCTGTAGACTGCCAGGATGTACTGAGCATGTTTAGTATTGTTCTTTGTATATTCAAGATCCCACTGGGGTAACGGTAACAGTTACAGTTCCAGTGTTTACATTTAACTGAGCTACTCTGGCCATTTTTAAGTAGTGTTGCAGAGAACCTACTTCCCCTAACAAGATTGCTCACAGTTCTGGTCTCTAACTTAACTACTGAAGCAGTGAACATGGCCTCGATTACAGTACTTTGCAAGTAGCTTCTCAGCATCATTATACAATTTATTCAAGCATTTTATTAAGAAGCTCAGACATAGCCTTAGGTCTCATGTAGGCACATAAGAAGATTTGGTTAATATTTTGGAAAATATAGTATAGTAATCTTTGCCCACTTAAAACTATTTCAGTTCTTTCAGAGCAAGTTAACAGAAAGAAGTCAGTGGAGTCACACTGCTGAAGGATCAGGTAATGCTGAGAAGAATGGGCCTCCTATATTGGGCTACTAAGGTGAGCAAGCAGTGTTTAATAACATGTAAAGAAAGCAGATGTCAAGTGTTTGGCTGTTCTTTGCAGGATTTAACAAAAGCAAACTATTCCTCATCAGAAGGAAAGCAAATTATTTAGACGTGAGGAGAAGAAATGAAGTAATTTCCATGCTCCTTTGGGATTAACATACAGTAGCTGAGACCACCTGACATTCTCAGGGTTGTGTTCTCTTTCCTGGTTAATCTTTAATGAGTGAATAGAGCACATTTTCCTTTCTCTTCTTCACATGTGCATCCTAGAGTTCTGGAGAGCTGTCTAAAACAAGGGGGAATGTGGCAGCATGACTGACATCTCGTTTCCATACAGATGAGAGATCTGCATGTGGAGATCACAGGCACACCATCTGATCCTGAATAAAGCATGTGGGATATGACCTCAAGTGAAGATACAGGCTTTGGTCTAATAAAATTTCTTTTAACCTGCTTTGTAATTAGAGCCTGTATTGAAAGCATGCTCTGTGATGGCTGGTTCATGCTAAAAAGGAAAATGAAAAATATTTTGGAGTAGTATATTAGATAATACTGTAACTTTGTTTAAACTGCTCAGTACTGCTCCAAGAACAGGGCTTGCAGATAAGAGGAATATATTGGTTTTGCAGACAACCATACCTTTTAAAAATAAAAAAACATAGGCACACACTATTGTTTCTGATTAAGCTAGTGATGTGGGTATTTGTGGATGGAAATATTTAATTTGTGAAAAGTATCACAGTTTGAGTATTAATTTTCATTTAAAACATAAATATCTTCTAAAAAAAGAAAAAAAAGATGTTTTTCTTATTTTTCCTTTCCCTCTTAAGGTTTCTTCTATTCTAAATGCTATGGTGATTAAATACTCAGTTCAGGACATCTCAGTCACTGTCATGGTTAAAGTCTGTGATTCAGTGGCAACTGGAAATTACAAATGTAAAAAAATATTGCTTTTTATGATGGCACAGTGTGATAGGAAGGGCAAATGATGGTGTTCCCTGGAGTTACTTGCTCAATACTGGCATCAATGACCAGCAAAAGCGGGTGATTGATGCCCTGGAGGAGGGGTATTAGATGAGCTAGATGGAGGTTCCTACCTTAAGGCAAAGGCTACATTATATGTAGGCTATATATATAGGCTAGAGAGAACAATTAAGTACAAGGCATAAAAAGTCTTCTGTGCTCACCTTAGGACAAGGTAAACCAGGCTTCGACCACATGCTGCTGCAGGTACAATTGTGACAATCATGGGGGATAAAAAAACCCTAACCCTTAGCTGAGACATCTACACTGGCAGAAGACTACACTGTAGATGCAGCAGGACAGACAAGACAGCTCTTTTGCTGATACAACTTTTTTACTCTGGAGGAGAGGAGGCAGAAGTGGAGGAGAGGAATGGTCACACAGATTAAAATAGCTTCTAGTATACAACATTCTTACGCTGGTAAACTATTCCTTGCTTAGTCAGAGTTAAACAGCATCAGACATAAAAAAATGAATTATGATGATTTGTTAGTTCAGTTAGATGAAATTCTAGCCTTTACCACCCCCGAGAGAACTCTGAACCTATTCAGACTCTGTACCATTAAAGAGCACACTTATTCAGTGAGCAGGGACTCAATTCACACCTCAGCACACATTCGTCACTTCAGTAGTTCCTGGCCACCAAAGTTCAGTACGTTGCAGGGTGGGATTCACCACACAGCCACCTGAAGAGGAGATAGACCCCTGCTATGTACTTACATGCCCTTGAATGGATGTCCATAACCTTTCTCAGTGAGCACGCAGAATTTGTACACAGGCTCTGGTTGGGCTCCGGTTAACATGGATAAGCAGGGATGTAACCCCCAGACCTGGGTCAGGGACATGCTGAGATTTTGTGTGTACTTAAGTAAGTGTGTATCCCAAAAAAGTTAAGAGATGATGAGAAGAAAAACAGGATTGATGGCCTCCAGGTTAAAGGCCAAATCCCACTATCCATGATCTCCCACTGACCTGTCACAGTCACAAGGTCAAAATACATGTTTTCTTTATCCATAATGAAACACCTATATGACTTCAAATCAGCTGGGAGTAAATATTAACAGGGAATAAATCCCATAAACAAATTTAAAAGAACCTTCGAATGAACACATTTCTGCTGATTTTCTCTGGTCAGGACTATTCATTCAGGGCCTTGGATCCTTCTTCTCTAAGTTGCACATTAACACTTACCTGACAATTGTGAGCCTTGCTGATAGCCAAACACTTCCAGGTCCTTGGTGGCCTGGATGCTGTTTAAATGCAAAGTTATTGAAGATACTTGCTAGACAATCAGTCAGAGGAAAGCTTTGCTTTCAGGTTCAGTATTCTTGAAGACTTAGGGAGCCTATTTGGTAAGTATTTGTAAAAATAGTTTTGTAGAAAAATCTAAGACCCTTTTAAGTTGACTCCATTCTGTGCCACAGCAGCAGACACACATCTTCACCAGAGGATTCACAAGAATCTCATAAAAAGTGTAAAATAATTGGAGAAACTAAGAAAAAGAAAAAAAGATTCTATAGCAGACCATAAGATCTGGCAATAACTTGGCATTATACTTTTGTTCCTCAGCACTCAGAAAGGGGATAAGCTGACAAAATCTATTAAATGTTACAAGGCTCTTTTTAAAGTGCCTTGGTAATTGTGCAAGTAATTGCACAGAGATACAAATTTACCCTATTTTTGAACTTTTGAGTGGTCTGCTAAAATCCCTGAATATCACTGAACAGTAAAATGTTACCTTTGTCCAAGAATTTTAAGACATCAGCATTCTAAATTCCCTCTTTCTTCAGTATTCAAGACTAGTATCAGACACAGGTGAGAATTTACAAACTGAAACAGTTAAGCTGTAGTTACTTTAAAACTTAATGCAATCTCTCTGCAAATAATTTCAGATTAAATATTTCTTTTAAGAATTATATCTATAATTTAGTATGGAGGAAGTACATGGCAATGGTTTTAGGAAGGACATCTAATTAAAACAATGATCATATATGTCTATAATACTAGATGAAGAGATAGGAAACATAACTTCATAAATTTGTTGGATTATTGCAATGACATTCTAGTCTGTCAGGACAAAGAGGTTAAAGTGGGTTAAAATCTGATTCTATTTGGCTCTTAACTAAAAAATAACTCTATTAACATGCTAAAAAACCCCAAACATCTATTTGAAGAACATTTTTTTCATATATATATAATCTTATCTGCTTAAAAGTTTGTCCAAGTGTGAAAGTCACTTTTCAACACAGAAAACGTGCCAAATCTGAAGTTTCTAAACCATTTTCCTATATTTTGGTAGATTAATTAATTTGAATTAACCACAAGATTAATTAGTTTATATGATGTGTCGATTATACCAATGACATTTAAGATCTAAAATTCAGAAATGCATTGACCTTGAGTGGCATATGTACTCAAAATGTATAATTAAAAAGAATATTAATCATTTAATTTTATAAAATGAACAGCTGTTCTAGTTGATTGGAAACAGCTAAAAGTGTAAAATGTATTTTGTGAATGCAAAATTAAAAGTTAATTTTATTATAGAGTGCAATCTGCCAACTTGAAATAAATTCTTGAGATGTAAGCAATATATTTTTGTAACGCTCTACCCATACACCAGAAAGGTCACATGTATATTTAAATGCCATATTACTATAAAAGTTTAATGATTTCAATTGAAAAGCTATCATATGATTTAGCTATTTAGAGATGAATATGAAACAGCTATGATGGATATGTCCTCTTTTTCCAAAGAACTATTTAAAAGCTTGAGGCAGAAATAATGTTTAATTAAATATTTTAAATACATTCTAAACTGTTACTTTTACTTACCTTGTGTCATACATACATCCCTAGTTTTCTTTTGGGTTTTTTTTGGTAGTAATCTCATAGGTTAAGATTCTCACTGGCATTTGCTATCATGGGTCTTCACTTATATACATTTTTCTGTCATTATAGGTATTAAACTAATTTTCATAGAATCATGGAATGGTTTGGGTTGGAAGGGACCTTGAAGACTATATCGTTCCACCCCCCCCCCCCATAGGCAGGGACACTTCCCTGCTAGTACCTTTTGCCTGTACCTGTTTTTAAGCTCTGCACTTTTATGCTTTAAAAGTGTTTATTATACAGATATCATGCACGGTACAAGGCTACAATGTGGCACTGCTTTTTTTTTTTTGTGGCTTTTTTTGTGTGTGTGTGTGTGTTTTTCTGTTGTTTTGTTTTTTTTTAATTAGGTACCACCACTCCCTTGGCATGGTGCTGACATTGCCTGCGCTATGGTCTTTTGCTTAAAACCTAAATTACTTGCAGACTTAAATGAGCAGTAAAACTTTCAGTACAATGTGTGTCTTGAGGAATGAGTAAGAACCCAAAATAGTCTGATGGTACCAGACAACACAGATGCTAGGTAAATACAGTTTGTCAATCCAGTTGGAGAAAAATCTTTCCATAATGATCCATCTTAGAAGCCATTACATCTACAATTATCAAACTATTTTCTGATAGTTATATCTGGTCTGATAGGAATGGTTCTCTAGCTCTTAGTCAAGCTAAATTTGTGCCAGAAACCTCCATTGCTTCAGCTCACCTTAATAGCTCTCGATTACGCACTTACTTAGCAGTGAAAGACCATTACTGTGTGGCAACATCCCAGTCCATAATTCTATCCTGTAAGTGGACCTTTCATACTCTGGGATACAGTTGTTTCCCCTCTATTGTTACCAACAAAAGCACTGTCAAGTTTAAGCAGGTCTGATGTGAGAACAGAATTGAAAGACTATTCAGGAAAACAAACCCTCTTTTAAAGTAGTCCTAAATTCTGTAACACTACATTCTTAATGTAACTTAATATCAAAGAAAGGAAGCAGGTTGACACTCTATGCCATGAAACATTTTAAAAAGCAGAAACATTACCTTATTCCTGATGACACATTTAAATCATATGTCAATAGTAAACAGGATGCTCTTTTGTCTCAGAGACTTTTTTGAACAAGGACTTCTGGATCAGATCCATTAGTTATTTCTTGTATTGCTGTTACTCATTCTGGAACATTAAAGGTATCTTCTACTTAATATCCTTCAACAATATGCTTCTGGAGCCTAAACATTTGGGAAAATAATGCTAACCAATGAAACTAAACATGTTTCTCGCAAGTCTTTCTATCTATAACAGGACATGTTATAGAAGATTCTTCACTAGTAAACAGGAAAACTGCCTGGTCATTAATTTAATCAGTTGACCCCAAGAATATGGTGTGAGAAATTAATTCAGAATCACAAACATTGAAATACTGTTGAGGAGCTGTACCATGGTAACTGTCCATTAATTTCTCCTTATTTCAGAAGTGAGGGTTCTGGTGGTATTGTCTCATCTCATTATTTCCTGAGAGAATAGATTCCTGGCAGCATTTGACATACATACAAACATGTCAGTTTTACACCTCTGTCATGACACTTATCGAGCTGCTGCTTCTCCAGTTTCAGAAGTCCATGGCAAAGCACATCTGTATTGTTATGATTGTGCTGAAGTTTGTTTGATAACTGCCACCAGAGGAACCCATCTGAAGCTAGAATGGTTCTAGATTAGTCCCAGTGAAGTTTTGACGGCAGTTTTTATCTGGTTGTCTCATTTGGTAACCAGATAATAAAGCTGACTTGGCAAAAATAAGGAGCAAACAACAAATTCTCTATATTAAAATGCAAAAGTTAGCAAATGGCTAATCAGGTTCCCAATCTGTTTGTTCTATAAAAATTTCAGTTAAAAAAAAAAGGGGGGGGGGGAACTCACTGCAGTAAAAAAGGACATTATTTTAAAAGAAACTTGCCAAAACGAATGTATGACTAAACTCATACTTACATGATGCCCACTGAGACATAAGGAACCCTAAAAGCCATTACCATCTACCAAGTACTTTTAAATACAGTTTTGTGCCAGTAGCTTCCCCTGTGCAGGGGAGTGACTGCCATTTGCTCACACTGGGAGGATGACAAGTGTCTTACCCTCAAATTCTGTGATTTTACAGTAAGTAGCACACGGAAAGCATATTTCGGCCGTGCCATGCCACAGGCTGCTTGAGGCTGGGCATGGCTGGTTGTCACAGGCCCTCTGGGCTAGCTCTCTCTGGGAAGGGGCATTTATGCCTATATTGCAGCCCAAGTACTTGACCCGTACATTCACTCTCAGTGTTGGCGCCACGGTACCATACGTTTCTCTTTCCTCTCACGCCTTCATGTGTAGAAAACAAAATATTGTCAATAACTAAACCCAACCCACCCCAAACCGCCCCAAACCAACTGGCCAGCACCAGGCCGAAGAAGCCAGGGGATTTTAAGGCTGTTTACGATGAGCAGCTCACAGCTCTCCCTGCGCTGAGCTCCGCCTCGCTTCACCGCGGCGATGGAGCCGGACCCGTCCCGCGGCCACCTCAGGGCCCGCCACCGCCTCAGCGGGAAGTGGCGGGAAGCGTGCGGCGGAGCCCGGCGGTTTGCGGGCGGGCGGGCACAGGGAGCGGCCCTGGGGACGCTCGAATGAAACCGGCGCGGAGGGACCTCCCCTGCGTGACCCCAGTGATAACGTGTTTATTTCGCGCTGCAGTCGCGGGTCGCTTTACAGAGACAACTCATGCTGGAGCCCCCCACGGGGCCGAGGACGAGGAGAGGGACACCGGTATTCAAACAGAACTATTAAATAACCTGTACACAAAACTTCAGTCTTTTACCCTGAAAGCGCCGAGGGCCGGGCCTCGGCATTGCCGGGCAGACGCTGCCGACCCACCCCCGGGAGCCTACAAGCCCCGACCACGGAGGCGGCGGCCGCGGTCTCCTCTCAGCCTCGCCCCGGGCCCTCAGGGGCGGGGAGGGTGCCTGTCCCGGGACGAGGACGAGCGGCAGACCCGGGGCCCTACAAGTGTTCAGTCCCGGGCCTGAGGGTCCCGGCGCCGCCTCCAGCCGAGCTCCCGCTCGCTGGGCCCGACGCAAGTCAGAGAGCCGGCAGCCCTGCCCCCGGCTGCGGGGCTCCTTCAGCTCGGGTCCCCGCTGCGCCTCGCCTTGGCCCGCAGGTGCCGCGCAGTCCCGGCCCGGTCCCTCCCCGCCGCCCGGCGGTCACAGGTCGCGGCCGTCCTCCCGCTTGACGCCGTCCGCCGCTGACTTGAGCTTCTTGTTCTGGTGGGTCTTGACGTGCTTGGCCAGGTGGTCGCTGCGCATGAAGCGCTTCCCGCACTCGGGGCAGACGAAGCGCTTTTCGCCTGTGTGAGTCCGCAGGTGCCGCTGCAGCTCGTCGGAGCGAGTGAAGCTCTTCCCGCAGAAGAGCCAGTTGCAGACGAAGGGCCGCTCGCCCGTGTGCCAGCGCAGGTGCGCCTTCAGGTGCGAGGTCTTGCCATAGACCTTTCCGCAGCCGGGGATGTGGCAGATGTGCTGCTTCTTCTTGCCCGGCTCCGCCTCCGGGGCGCTGCCCGCGGCCGACTGGCAGTTGGGGCATCGGCATCGGCGGCACCTCCTGGCCGTGGCCGCCAGGGGGGACTTGGTCTGCAGCAGGGCGGCGATCTGCGTCTGGTACTGGGCGAAGTCCGAGTGGCCCAGCACCAGGCTCCGAGGCAGAGCCGCGGCCGCGGGGAAGCGGTGGCCGCAGCTGCCCGGAGCGCCGGCCTGCTGGATGCTCCACCAGGGGATGTCCTCGGGCGGCGGGTTGGGAGAGAGCTGCCGGCAGGGCTGCGCCGGGGGCAGCAGGTTGGAGTAGCCGGGAGGCAGCGCGGCCTGGGCGGCGTAGGGGACGTATGCGGGGGGGCAGCTGGAGGGCAGGGCGGCCATGGAGGAGGGCAGCATCTTGACGGGGGAGAACTCGTACGGGTAGGAGGGGTCCGCCGGGGGGGTGAGGGGCAGTTCGTGCGCGCCCCCGAAGGAAGGCTGCAGATGGTTCTTCTGAGGAGTCAGCCCCAGGCTGGGGTGAGGCGGCGGCAGCCCCCCCGGAGAGTGCGCCGGCATCTCGCCGCTCCACGGATGGAAGATCCTGGAGGGGGATCCCAGGGTCGGGTCGTAGGAGACCTGCAGGAAGTCCGAGGGTGCTGTGCCCGGCTGTCCGATCCGGCTACAGGTGGCTGCCAGAAGAGCCAGGGGCGAGTGCTTGGCCAAGTCTGGGGAGGCGCTGGGGGTGCGGTCCTGCGCGGGAGCGGGAGGGAGGGAGGATGAAGAGCGCGTTACTCGCCGCCCGCCGCCGCCCCGCGGGAGCAGCCGCGCCGCCAGCAGGAAACTTTGCGCGCCCCTGCCCGCGGGCGGCCGGAGCCGCGCCACAGCTCCCGCGGCTGCCAAACTTTCCCAAAACAGCGAGCGCCAAACCGGCAGGACGGGCCCGGCCCCCCCGCCCCGCCCAGAGACCGGTCCCGCCTGCGGCCAGCGCCGCCGGCCCCTCCGCCTCTCCTGGACTGTGGGCGACGGGAAAGGGGCCGCTACAGGAAGGGGGCAGCCCCCGGACCGCGCTGACCTACCCCGCCTGGGACGGTGCCTGGAGTTACCGCCGGGCTGCTGGTGGGCGGGGGAAGTTGCCAGCCCTAGGTGCCGGGCTCCTCACCCCCGGGTCCCTGCCTACCTCTCCCGAGCCGCCCGCGGGTGAAGCCCAGGGAGGGAGGCATCAAGCGCCGGCTGTCCCCGAGCAACGCGGGTCACACCCGTGGAGCCTGCCCGGCCCCGGGCGCGGGTACTGACCTGGAGGAAAGCTTGGAGGGAGTCGTTCCGGAGGACGGCCACGGCGGCCATGGCTACTGCGCCCGGGGCGAAGGGAAGGCGCCGGGGCACCGCCGAGGCATGGGGACGCCAAAAGGAAGACGAGGAGCTGCCCAGTTTC